AAATCCATTTAAATTTATCGAAAATATGTCACGCTTAATATTGTACATTATCGATATTATTTTGTGCTACTTTACAAGAATGTTTGAGAGAGAATTTCAAATATAACACTTATATACGTTGATGCGGTGCCACGTTTCACTCGGAGTAAATTTGGTCGCCGGCAGCGCGCAACCGTGGGAAGGCAGGTGAAACGGGGCGATGTAACGGGCCTATCGGTTTCATTGATTCGTTTTTTTTTTCTTCTCGAGGCAATTACACCGACCTCCAAGGCGAGCGCGCGCGCGTTACTTCTCTGACGATCTGCCGCGCGTGGATCGCTCGTAAAATGTTGAACGCGCCACGATGATTTCGTCGACGCCTGCGGCTTTCACGATTGCGCGATGATCTCGTCGATCCAGCTTGCACGCGCGCACGATTCCCTCAAATTTTCGTCTTTAATCGAAGCCAGCGCGTTGCTGGACCACCGCGATTACCGGCCACTTTCGCTTTTCTTTCCGTTCATCTCCCGCGTCATTTCGCTCCTTCGACATGAACGTCCACCTTCCGAGAAGTCTGCGTGTCCATAATCATCTCGCGTATCTTTTAATTTGAAAATCGAACGAGTATGTAAGGAGCAAGGATATGCGATAAATGTACAAGTGTGCAATTTCCAAATTGTCACTTGGCTGTGGTGAGATGAAAGAATTGAAATTGAGTTCATTAATCCTTGATAGGATTATGTAAAAACGGGGGCAGTTATGACAAGCCATTTATTATGCACCGAGGTAGATGTATGTTATTTTTCTTACTTCTATCTTTCTCTGTGTATCCGGCTGAAACGAGCTTTATAGAGAAACGCGCCATCGTGGCGAAGCACGTAATATGAATCTTCATTAATAACGTCGAAATGGCAGGTCTCGACCGTCTCGTAAAATGACCGGATAAATGCAAACGTCTGTTACATGTATTTACTTATTAGTCGAGGTATACGCGCACACATACGAATTACGCTTTCTTAAATTTTTTCTGTTAAAAAAAAAATGCGAAAAAAATTGACAAGAAATAACGCGCATAATTGCGTCTATTTGTGTAGCCATTCTAAGCAGCGAGATTCAATTTGGACTTCATATCGTTGCAGCTTAATCTATCAAAGCGATTCAAGTCGCGCGACAGCTCGAGCGACTTAATTTTCGCTCGGGATTGCTCGACCCGCGCATTGTAATACCCCAAAATGGACGCGGCGAGCTAATTAAGTCGGACGTAAAGAAAGATAACGTTTCATAATGAAGGTGGATTTTTTGCCTATTTTTCGAGAGCGCCGCCGTCTCCCCTCTCGTCGTCCCGACGCTGCGCCGGGGAAGATTTTACGCCCGACAAGCTCTCGGGGGAGAAAAAAAAGATCGTCCGAGTATACCAGAGAGAGCAGCGAGTTTAAAACGTTGCAAGTGCCGTACCGGATATGAGAGACGCGGAGGTGGGGAAAAGGAGAGAAAGAGAGGGAAGGAGAGGGGAAAGCGCGCGCGGACCGGAAATGGCCGCCCTTAACCCGGCGCGATCAAAAACTGGTTTCGCCAGACACACGAAAGCGCCGCCGAGAGATGAGGGAAGCCGAAAAAAAGGAAAAAAGAAAAAAAAAGAGCGAGAAAGAGAGAGAGAGAGAGAACACTTCCACCACCGTTCTTCTTCCTACCGCTCTCTAGTCGGTAAATAACGGATAATTTCGCTCTCAAATAAATCGAGGGAGGCAAAAGTTTCGGCGTTAAAAAACGTTTAAGCCGCTGCAATATTTTAAGGGAGCCGCGCGGGAAAACTTTAATGCAGTTAATCCGGAGTGACTTCCACAAAATACGGCCCTGGGAATTCTCGTCGTGGCGTACCGCGTAGTATTACCTCGCACGAACAACAACGCGGTTCCGACGATCAAAACAGTCGCCGAAAATAAGCGACAAATGTTAAATTTATCAACAGACGTGATATTTTGTTGAAAAAATTGAAATGATGATCGATAACGATCTAATTTTTACTATATTTAAATACTTGAGGCTAAGTAATAAAGATGACATATTTTATTCATATTTTAATTCTCGCAATTCGTATTAAAACATGTAAAGTTTCATTATTGTAGAGATAATCAGGTATTATTATTTTTTGATTATGTGACAATCTTTTCATCGAAATGTATGTCATATTTAAATTTGATATTTTGTAACGTAATTGTACAGTCAATTTCTTCGATTAGCTATTATTGTTGCGGTATTTTCTTAGAAATGGCAAGCGAATTGAAATTGATGACAAAGATACTGAAATAATGGATCGACAGCTGTCGAATACAGCATAAATACATCTATTCGATCTCACTTGTCTCGTAACGTTTTGTATCATTAAATACCTCTTTTATTCAGCATAACGCAATAAGCATAATTATAATACCTTTGTACCGTTAGCATTAGTAAGACGTTCGATTGAGACTGTCTTAAAAACCGAATGAAAAAGAGTTGCCAAATTGAGAATAAATAATTACAGATCGCGCCATTTTATCTAATGTTAATGTAATGGGACGAAATAAGGAATTAAATTAATTGATTTCCATTGAGAGAATTATCGGGATCGAATAAATTACGTTATATCTGATGTTTGTACATCAATACGTAAAAATATTTAAAACATTAAAGATAACATTAAATATTTGAGAGAATAATCCGATTTAATGAGAAAATCCTGGAGACAGATTAAATTTGCAGTCCAAGTCCAAAAGGAGAACCGCTGCGAACAGTCCATAAGCCAGAGAGGATCTAGCGGCTGTGTAGACTGTACTGAAATAATGTACAGTGCCGTACAAAACGGCAAGTCGACGAGGGGGAGAAGAAGGAGAGGGGGGGGAGAGATCGAGAGGACGAGGGGACTCTCCGTCTCCCTTCCTCACGTCGCCCTCCACCGCTCTCGTATCCCTCTCCCGTCGTCGGGGTAACAATGGTGTGCAAAGGAGATTAACAAACAGAATAAGCTAACGCATAATCGCATTATTTCTAGCTAAGCCGCATTTAAATTAGATAGAAATTCCATTTAACGAAACAATGCGGGGATGATGAGTCACTTTGCCGTATATACGCGACGACTCGCAATGTCGGAATAGACATTGTCCCTTGACTGCGGCAGCAATCCCAGCATTCCCGGAGCGATGCTCTTGCTCGCTCGCTCGCTCGCTCGCACGAATTTCTGATTCCGCGAAATTCTTACAAGCCGGTCGTTCTTATCACGCGCGGTCCGGAAACTGCACGAGTCTCGTCGGATATGATTTGCCAAGCGCCGTATATTTCGACGATCATATTTTATCCTTTTCGGAAAGCCCACGATGAGCAAAAGAATATGTATATATGTTATATTTCTTCCATTTATATATATATATATATATATATATATAAATTATATAAAAAATTATATAAATTACATAAATTATATAATATATAGAATTAATATATATAATTTATATTTATATAATAAATATTATAATTATATATTTATATATAATAAATTAATATATATAATTATAATATAATACATAATTTATGTTTGTTATTTTTTACGAGATACCATCGCCATTACTATTAAATTAATATAGACAGTATGTAACCGGATTATAATGTGTGAAACTAAAGCAATATTAGTCAAATAGTGCGACAAGAAAAGATATATAACTATATCAGCAGGATGTAGGATTCATCTATCTCTAGAGCACAGAATGATATCGCTTGTTCTAGTTTCGAGGAAACGTGATGTTCGTACACAAGCAAACACATGCACACGCACAGCGTTTGTCTTCCGACCTATCGATTTTGGAAAAATACCCCACAACAATATGTAATAAATCGACTCACGTCGATTGCCCTCTGACATTTAAGGATCTCGTATTAGATAACGCAGCTTCTAAACTCATCAAGCCGTCGTTTATTCAAATCAGCTTGAAAGTTAGCGCGCACCATCAATTTCAATCGACATATGTATTCGCGAAAGCGGTTCGCGAATTCGGCCAATTTCGCGGAAAGGTCGCCGTTTAAATCCAACGTGTTTTACAGAGAACCGTTGCGCCGGGTCGTAAAAATTTGTAGAGCACCCTATATAATCGAGGAAGGGTGCCCGACACAAAAAGAGCGAGCCAACGACGACGAGCCCGCCCACGTGAGGGCGGCCATATTCGTGACGTAATTCTGACGTCACCATGCCGATAACGTGCTCCGCACACTTCGTCGGATGCATAGAGAAAATCGTAAAACGTGTGCAGCCTCCCTCCCTCCCTCCAATCCGCCTCCCGTCGCCATCTCCCTTCTGTATTCGCGATTGACGCGCAATCCGCTTTAGGGGAAAGCGCTTTTCTCGCGCGAGACGAAAATTCTCGGATATTTAGATTTTTCGCGGAAAGAAACTCTTCTATTCGCTTCTTTTCCTTTCAAAAAAATTTCTCGATATATGTATATTTGCCCTGTATTCCTCGTTACATGCGTTACACTTTTGAGAAATATCGCTCAGATTAAATTATATTGAACGCGAACACAATCACAGATTTTGACAAGTCAGAAATATTAGATTTGAATTATTATTAAATCGAGTCAGGCTCAATTATAATCATCTATCGCGAAACTATGTTGAAATCAAAAGAAAACAATAATAGCTAATCCATTAATTATGATAAAAATGCAACTTTGTTACGCAGCGAAATTAAATTATTAATTGTCAGATTAATGAGAGTATAATTTATATTCGCGCCTTTTTTCATACATCAAAATGTGACAGAAATAAAATCGAAGAGGGGAGAAAACTCCGAAATATAGCAAACATAATTTACATTTTTGCACACATATTTAAAATATTTCAATCTAAAAAAATCTCACATTAAGAAAGAACAAATTATTTCAATCTGAAAAAAAATTCAGAAAAAAGCTCAGTTAAATGGAGAAGACTCTACTCTCCCCTCTTCCTCGTGATCGGATCAATGAATGATAGAGAGCACCCCTCGATCTCTTACCTGAGGACCGCCGCCCACAATCGACTGGTAAGCCGATTGAAAAACGCTGCCCAACTGCGTGAGGCCCTCGTCCTCCATCTGGAACATTATGTCCGCCCCCGGCGAGCCGTTGTTGTTGAGATTATTATTGTTACCCATCAGCTTCTCCGTGCTACCGACGTCAGAGCGAAGTATCGTGTTGGACTGCATACTCACGGTGGACACGACGGGAACGACACGTGCGAGATTGCGGGGGATCCGCGGCGAATGTTCGGGCGCGCGCGCGCGCGCGCACGCGGGTGTGCGATCGATATGTATATCAATATATCTCGGTGTCAGATTTTAGCGACATTGGCGTCTCGCGGCAGACAATCCTGCGTCGCTCTCATCATCGTGGAGAAAAATCTCACTAGCAGGAGCACAAAGGCGATCGTCCCGCGACGATCGACGATAAAATGATTGAGGAACGATGCGCGTCGTCACGTGACGAGTGTCCACTTTGCGGAATCCGCGACGCAAGAACGATCGAAAAGTGCGTAACGTCGCGTCGTACCCGTCAAGTCGAACATACCACGCACTTGTCACGGCGTCCGATATATACACCGAGAGAGAAGAAGGACGAAAGGGATATCTTAATAATGTTGCGGACCGAGATCTTGGTCCTTTTCGCGACGACGCGAAAATCCTCCTCGCACGGCGAATCACGAACGTGTCATATCGTGCTCTCGTTGTTCCGGGAGACACACAGAAATGTCACCGATAAATAATACTCGCATCAGGATGCACACGCGCGCGATAGCCGCCGCTGCTCCGCTGGCTGCATGGCGTCAAGGACCGTTTTCGAGGTTAGAACGCGAGAGAGAAAGAGAGAGAGAGAAAGATAGGGAGAGAGCTCCTCGTCCGTTCGGCGGCAGTCGGCGCGTCCTATCACGCGCACTGCATTTTTTTCGATCCACGAGCGAATACACGCCGAACGATCGCGAAAGCGGAGAGTGCGCGATCGCGTTCACTGTTATCTGCAGATTTACCGGTCGTTTGCGAGCGAAGGAGGCTCGACGGAGTCGGGAACGGACGCGAGAAAACGTTCCCCTCACGGCATACGCGACGAGACTGACGCGTCGGGTGGGGAGGCGGCCGCTATTACTATCCCCACCCCTCCCGCTACCAAACGTTCCCATCCCCACTCCTTCGCCGTCGTGCGCGCGAGCCTCACTCCGCGCGCCATCGTCGTCGTTCGCTCGTTCGCTTGTCCCTTCGGTCGCTCCAAGATTTCTCTCGTCCCCTTTAGCTCCGATCTCGTAGAAAACAACCCCTAGCGCGAGGGGCCATCGTTTTTGCCTGCGTAGAAGCAGGCGTATAAGCGACAAGCGGACGCGAACGCGAGTGTGGGTGGGCTCTCTCTCTCTCTCTCTCTCTTTCTCTCTTCTTTCTTATCCGTAAACTATGTGCCGTGCGGAAAACATCGGTCCACTTGTTGAGTCGAAAAGAGAGCGACCGAACGAGAGCAAGACGGAATCGGAGAATGGGAGAGCGTGTGGGTGCACGAATGCGTGTGCGTATCCGTGCACGGAAAAGTGGCGTTCGAGATAAAAAGCTTCGCGCGCCGCTAACGACAAAGTCGACCTCCGTGGACGAGAACACGCGGCCGATCCCTGCGTGACGAGAGCTCGTCTTTATTTACGCTACCGTTCACGATTATCGCGCGTTTCGCTCAGATCAACGCGGACACGTCGATCATGAGTCTGTCCGGGTTTTTCCGGGCAACGCGACGATTTAAAATCTTTCAATATTCGATATCAATCTTATGCTCGTTTATGATAATGATGCTAATAAGATTAGAAATAATAATATTATCTAAGATACGTATTATACTAATAATATTGGCTATTAATGTATATATTAAGAGGAAAACTGAAGATACACAAAATATCTGGTAATTAAAGTCTAGATAAAAATATGCCGAAAAATGGATATTTTTGAGGGAAGCAAAATTACAGTCGATTTCGCGACATTTTAAAATTATTCGAAATATATATATACCGATAAAATTCGAGATTAACAAATAATTTTAGCGTAAAACGGAAATGATAGCGAAAAAAATTTCATAAGTTTCGTGTAACGAGTCTCGTTGCGAGTTTCTTCGAAACTGTCCGATCTCGCCGTCGAGGCGCAGTTAATTAAAAGCTCGGCGCGATTTTCACCGCCATTATAATGGATCGTCGGCGAATTTTAAGGTGGCGTGCTTAACTTTTGCGCGAAGTTAAATGGCGTTGTTTACCGCGCCCGGCGAAGTTTAATGATATCGCGGCCGAGAATATCTTCATCTCGTCGCCCCGCGAGCGGGGGAGTCCCCCGTAACGACTCCGCTCGCGATTTCGGAAAATCTGTCAGTGAAAGAGAAGAAGTGGGGGGGAGGGGGAGAAGGAATGAGGGGGACAAACGAGATATCTCGTGGCGCCAAAGGTGCCTCGTTAGTCGGAAATTCGTGAGTAATTTTAGTGTCGTATCCACGCGACTGGCCGAAGGTTTATAATTACCTAACCTCACCCGACCTGATCTAACCCACTTGGCAAACGAGCGAGAGTTCTAGTTTTCGTCTCACCGAACGCCGGATACGACGGGCGGAATCTCGTTAAAAAAAAAATCGATCGACCGGAAATTGTCGACGGCCTCCCAATTAATATCTGACTCGATTTTTCTCAGATCTAACGAATCGACACGACGTTTTATAAGCGACTTCAACGAGATGCGATTATAAATTAACAATTAAATCCTAATGGGATATAATAGTATAAGTATTTGCGTTTGTATATTACGGCTAGATAGTTGGTTGTTACAATGTAGCGACAATTGACATCAATTGCGAATGGCCGCTTTTATTGAAGACACTTGATCTCATTTCGATTCAAGACACGAGTCGAGCGTGCGAGTGAGAAACGATAATAATTTCTACGGCATACGGCTTAATCGATATTTTATTATTGTAAAGTTGAAGAGGGAGAGAGAGAGAGAGAGAAAGAACAGTGCGCGTCGTACATATATACTTATCTTATTTACAACACAAATGTAAATATAGATCTTATTAATAAAAGTAATGTACATTTAAGTTTCTTTTGAAGTAGATTTACTAAATGTAATAAAGTGTTCTCGTATCTAAAATGTGACAAAATGTAGACACGCTCATCGCCGTAATGAGCTGTAAGGTAACAGAAGTCAAAATAAATGACCATACTGTCGAAAGGTTCGCCAGGTATAAAGAAATTCTCACTGTTTGTAGCTGGTATTGACAGTAAAATAATTAAAAACGACAACACTGGCACAATGGGACAACACCCAGTGTTTGGGGGGTCGTTTGTACCTGCCCTGCCCTTCAAAATACCCGCAGGGGCGTCGAAAAGACTTCACTTTTCCGACCGATCACGAATCTAACGGCGCTGTAGAACCCGTTAATTTCGAAACCCTCGTCAAAATTACATAGCGTGCGCTCATTAAGGCGCTTATTTCAAACGTTGCGTCAATTGTTTTCCACTGCGCAATCTTTGATGGCTCTTTTTCTTTCGAAAATTTACAAAACGAATTCGCGTAATAATAAGCGCTTTAGCTAAATTAAAGAATACGATAGAGAGAAACTAGATGGAAAATGTGTGTCTGATATTCATGTCCATTTATTTTTTTTTTATGACAATAACAATACGTGAGCGCGAGACATTTCGATCGGAGCGACATTTAATAAGATAAACAAGCCATCGTTTCGGATATAATCGCTAAGGCAAATAATGACATAATTTAATTAAATAATTACGTAATGTTCGTTTGTCAAGTCGAATGATAAGGAGAGCGTGTCGTTTGCAGCGACTCCGAGTATCGATCATTGCGAAATGGCCTCGCGCGAGAGCGCGGGTTACCCTCCTGCGAGTTTTGACGATCGACGTCAAAATCTCCAGCTAATGCGGCGCATTTGAGAATTTCACGGTGACGGCGTGAAAACCACGAGAGAGATACCCGGGACACCCGCGGTGTCCCCGACTGGCATTAATATAGCCGCTGTAAATCTCGAAAGGTACTTGTCGTGCCGCGCGACTAACCCGAGATCAGTGGCATATGGTGCTCTCAGACGGGATCGCAAAGCACTTTGCTCATCGCAGTCGGATCGGTCCGGATGATAGTATTGGAGACTTGGATGAAGAGATGAAATAGTTTATGAGAAGAGCAACTTTGGGATTTTTGTAACATGGAAAGTGTTTCTCGGGTTTCTCTCTCGTATTTTCTTTCCTTCATTTATCGAGAAAATATTTTAAAAATCGATGCATCGCTAGCTTTGAAATTTTTAATTAAAAATTTTGTTTAAGCCGCTTTAACCAATGACGTAAAGCGTATTTCAACATCACATGCGTGCGCCGCGAAGAATTTTTCCCCCAAATTCCGCATCGTCAGAAAACGCGAGAATAAAATTAATAGAAAAAGAAGAAAGAAAGAAGGAAGAAGAGACGCGATGTTGTCTCGAGGCGTTTCGTCATTGGACGGTCAACAAATAATTAGGTAACCTCGCCTGGCCAACTGTGTAAACTGTTCGCCTCCTCGGTATCGCATCCCCGCTCTTTCTACACCTTATCAGGTCGCGTAAAGACGACGAAGGCGAATAAAGGGAGAAGGAGAAGAGAAGAAGAGGAGGATCCGAGATAGAAGTAAAGACGAAGAAAGGTGGAGGAGAGTCGTCGACCCGGACGCCTCTTCTTTTCTTTGCGCCGTTGTAACCGACGCGCGATCCCCCTTTCGAGGGAGCGTGAAAAAAATAATAAGATCGTGGCTGTCGGAGGTCGATCCTCCTCGTCTCCTTCGTTCGCCCGATGCGCGCGGGAAACACGACAAAAACATCTCGCCCGGCAAGAAAACGGAACTCGGTGTCCTCCTCCGCTTCGTCGGCAGCATCACGGTGCGAGCTTAGAATGCTCCGATGCCATGACTAATAGATGCCGAATAATATAATTCGCAAAATTTCTATAACTCTTGTTAGAGAGACAAGCAGCGATTGTATGCAAATGAATTTATTAGAGACTATTATATTTAAATTTATAATGTTATTCGACGCACGAGTTTATTACATGTTTCTTTTTCATATGGCATTACTTTTTGACTTTTATACATATAATACATATAAAATTTGTATAAATAAAATTCAAAAGAATATTGTTATTGCGATGCTAACTTTAAATATGATTATTAAAAATCACTTTACAAAGAACGCCGAAAATAATTTCGCCCATAATAATCATTATACAACGAAAGGGAAGTAAAACGGTAATATTTCGCGAAAGGTAAACGCGGTAAAAAGCGCGGTCGAAGCAAAACTTTTGCGAGAAACCGATTTAATTTCCCCCGATACAACCCTCTCGTGGATATCCCAAGGGTGAATGGCTAAAAGGTAATAGTTAATAACAGCGCAGCTGAAAGGGGGATCCGGTAATCCTCTTCTAATTTCTAAAACAAAGAGAGCCGCGGATCGCACCAACGAGAACAGGAGAAAGAGATGGAGAAGGAGAGAAAGAGGGAGAGAAGAAAAGAGAGAGAGAGAGAGATGAACGGGCGAATCGAAGGAAGCATGAGAAAGAGAAAGAGAGAGAGAGAGAGAAGGAAACATTCTCTTGCAGAGGCAAAGCCGAGATCCCGAGTTCGGTGGATTCGAAGGGGCGAAGGAGCAAGCGGGTGGTAGAAGGAGAACTGAAATTGGGATGGGAAGGTGGGGGGAAAGGGGACAAGGTTCCACCCTGGAACACATTAACTGCAGGGCGACGGGGTATATAGGGGTGGGTTGGGGCCGCGCCACTGGCGTAAGCCGAACGGAAAACGAAATCATTCTCGGGAGCGTGCAACGTGGTAGGTACGGCTTAATTCTGACCTCTTGTTAACCGAGTGGCGTAATGGAGGTAACACCCTGTACGCTTTCACGAGTACTTCCTCCGGAAATTATCGGACTTAACGCGGTGGGTGAAATTTTGCCCTAGGAATTATTCCGATCCATCTTTTTACGATCCTTTAATATTGTATCAATGTTACAATTTTTTGCCGAAAAGTTTTTTAAAATTTGATCACGATATAATTTCTTCCGATTAAAGAA